AGGGTAAAAATCAGCTCATTTTATTTTGTAGTAAAATCAAAAATAGGAAAAATATGCTAACATGATAATATCTAATGAGGGAAATGTTCTGTGCAGATGTCTGTTTTTCTATTAATCTCTAAAATGACTATATACTTTTATTTATGTGAGTAACATCAGATACAAACATGTTGCTAGGAATATATATTTACTTAAAAAAAGATAAACACAACATGAGTTTAGAATTTTAATACTGTTTTAAAGGTGATTTAAACCTCTGGATAATGTAAGTTTTGAGATTTCAACAAAGATCTAATATCTATGTATGCCACTTCTGAGAGTTATTTAGATATTTTTCTCTTGTTTAACTGCATTTAGTACAGCTTCTAACACAGAGAAGTAAGAACTGAGTCCTGTATGATGTATCATTTATGGGGCACTGGGAAAAATAATTTTACTTTGTTATTTTTGAAGCCTCCTTCTAGGCACACTGGCAACCAATTTTATCTTTATTATAGTATGTAGGTAACAAGGTCATAGGCTTTTCAGCTAACACAAAGGGCACATGAAAAGAAAAGAGAACTATTTGTTTTGCTTTTGTCGTTAGTGGTAGTTGCTCTGTTGTGTCCGACTCTCTGTGACCCCGTGGACTGTAGCCCCCCAGGCTCCTCTGTCCTTGGAGTTTCCAGGAAAGAATTCTGGGGTGGGTAGCCATTCCCTCCTTCAGGGGATCTTCCTGACCCAGGGCTCGAACCTGCTTCTCCCGAACTGGTTGGTGGGTTCTTTACCATCTGAAACACCAGGGATGGAGTTTTCATATATCTTTGTACATTGGACACCTTTTCATGTTTATTATGCTATGCTGATAGCAGTGTCACATTTCATTAACACCAAATTAGTGGGAATGAAAAGCAGAACGTTTTGTTGCTCTTACTATTGTTTCAGATTTTTGTCCTGTAAATACTTAACTTTTATGATAATGAATTATTTCAGAAGGGGAATGCCTTAGGGAGATATGTTTTGCTTTAAGCCAGAGTAGGCTGCTAACCTAAATTTGGACATATCCCTTCCGAGGTAAATATATTGTGATACTAATATGGATAAAAACAAACAGTTGTATTTTGCACTCTTGAATGTCAATGAAGGCACAGCTTCATTGAGGAGTGGGAAGAGAGATATGCATGCACAAATGATCACCCTTTTGCATTGAAATTGGCATTCTTCAGTCCTGGAACTAAGCAAAACAAATAATAAAGTCATCCTGCTAGCTATACATACTTTACACTAACTTCACACTAACCCTATTGGACTCGATAGTACAGGTTTGAATGTACAATAACAGAGACAGGGAGTGTGGGTTTGGAGAGTTGGAGAGATGAAACAGGGATATATGTAGAGGAGGTTAATACTCTAGGCTTTTGATTTTTAATTTGTATAATTAACTTTTTTCTCTCTCAAGTCTTGAATATAGAGTTGTAATTGGAATTAATTTAAGCATAGTTACCAAAATAATGGAGTAAATCATTTAAGACAGGGTATCTTGTTTGTTGTTGAATATATTGATTAGCTCTAAGTAGGTTATCATGTTAGTTTATAAATCTTAATGCCTTGTCACTTGTAAACATGCTTGATATTAAAAAAATTTCTCCTTGCTTTGATTTTTCTTTGGTACCTAAAATTAATGGGCAAAACATGAACTTCATTATGAATTTCTCCTAATTTTTTTTTTTTACAGTTTACTTTCTCAAGACTCCTTTTGGATTACAGAGATCATGTTCTTCCTGTAAACTTCTATGGAAGAATTTAAAATGAGTAAGTTGATGTTCTGGGATATTATATTTTGAGAGATATTTGACTGAAATTAATATATATTATTATGTTGGCTGCTGCTAATGTGTTAGAAATTATCCTTCAAAGAGTCAAGTTGAACACAACCCCAGTGATGAGGGCTGAAAAGAGGCACATATACACAATCCTTTATAAGTCTGATGAGACTGCTTGTCAGTTTTCATTTATTTTAACTTGAATCAGCACCGGGGTCAACTTAATAAAACAAAGTAATGCTAGGCCTAGGATTTTAGCAAACATACTTTAGTGGATGTGTCATAAGTTTTTAAAAGCAATTTGAGGATAGAAGTCAAATATGTTGAATCTGTTGTACAACACAGTGCCGATAGTTAAAAATATGATATTGTGCACTTTAAAATGTTGAAGATAAATCTGATGTTTTTCACTTTCACTTTCTTTATGTGCTCTTACAACAGCACAAAAACACGAATGCATGGAAGGTTTTTTTTGTTGTTTCTATGTTTGTTTTTCGTTCATTGTTGTGGTGTTTTTTGTTCTTTTGTCCCTCCTCATCATATTTTCTTTATTTTTTTGTGCTTTTATATATATGTCAGTTATACCTCAGTAAAACTAAAAATGATGATTATATTTTAAATATATTTTCTGAAGAAGGAAGAGAAGAAAATTAAATAGATGAATTCCCGGAGCATTCGGAATTCTTGATGTAGGAGGTGAAAGGGAATGGCTTCATGTTTCTTTTTTTCAGTCTGTTGCATGGATGCTGAGTACCTGACACTGATGCTGATGCTGATGTTGGTGTTCTTAGCATCTAAGGAATATCAAATGTACTCTTAAGAGTTTCTCATTAGAGATCTTTTCTTTTACTGAGGCTACTGATTCACAGGAAAAAACTCTGTGAAGGCAACATACAAGTGAAAAACAATTTATGACTGAGGAAGCAAAAGAGGAGGAGGAAGAAAGGTGGCAAAAGTGGGTACATAAGGGCTTCCCAGGGAGCCCCAGTGGTAGAGAGCCCACCTCCAGTGCAGGAGATATAAGAGATGCAGGTTCAGTCCCTGGGTCAGGGAGACCCCTGGAGAGGGGCATGCCAACCCACTCCAGTATTCTCGCCTGGAGAGTCCCATGGACAGAGGAGCCTGGCAGGCTACAGTCCATGGGGTCACAAAGAGTCGCACACGACTGAAGCGACTTAGCATGCAATATTGCTAGAGGAAACGTGAGAGGAAGGAAAATGACAGGGAATGAGTGGGATTATAAAGAGAGATTTTTCTCCATTTTGCTCAGGCTTTGGCATCTGAGGCCCGGTCTTATTCTTTTCCGTTCCATCCTGCCTATGGTCCTCTAGCTATTAAAAATCTTACTCTGGTTCTGATGCTAATCTAATTCCTTCAGCCTTCTACCTTTCCATCTGTGAGTATTCTAGATTCACATGGCCACCATTACTATTACTGGTCTTCTCATTCCACTGTCAGTTGCATTTGCTGAAAGCTTTCCTTGAATAGTCAAATCCTTCACATAGTTAATTCAGTAGATTCCCTGTCAGTGATAATTCACTGTAGCTTTATACCAGGCCGTGTTCTAGGCTCTGGAGATAAATTAGTTAATGAGATGAAATCTTGGTCCTCATCACACATATATATATATATTACAACAGATGAATAAGTATATATTTGATTTGCTGTGAAAAAAAAAAGCAGATTAAATGGGTAGAGAATAACAGAGTATCCTACTTTAGAAAAGGCAGTCAAGGAAGTTTTCTCTGTGGAGGTGATACTTGAACAGAATTCTGAAGTGAGGAAGCAAACCACATGAGTTTCCCATATTGGAAATGTAGCTGAGTTTTCCAAACCAGCTACATATCGGAAATGTGTAGCTGGGAGTGAGATGACTCAAGGGCAGAGGCTTATGTTTGATGTCTTCAGGAGTTAGTAAGAAGCACAGTGGGTAGAGGAGGAGAGTGGTAGGAAATGAGGTTAAGAGTTAGACAGAGGCTCAGTACAGCCTGATCAGGGCCACAGTGAAGCCCTTGGATTTTATTCTAAGTATGGCTGCAGGTCATTACTCTTAGAGGGTTGAGAGCAGGGAAGCCATGTGGACTCACTTCCCTTGAGGAGTACTGTTTTCAAGTGAAAGTAGAGATGCAGGTATCAGGAGAATTCTTAGGCGCTTATCCAGTTGCACTTATTAATAAAAACACTTCGATAGGAATGGGACAACACTACTAAAGTTCTGTTTTACCTTTGGAAGAATACTACAGTGCTGTAAGGTACTATTTTCCTAGAAAGATTTTATTGATTAGTACTTCCAGAGACCAGTGGAAATGAAGTCAGTGGTGGTGAATGGAGAACCCTGACTAATATCCTGCCTTCCTGTCTTTTTCATTAAGCCTAGAATATAGAAGTGCAAGTAGTATACTTAAGCTTATCAGTTTGTTACAAAAAGTTAGATTTTGCTTATTACTGTGTATAGCCATTCCTATCAGACTTTTCCCAGCCACGTCCCTTCACTGCTGAGGATAGATGAAGAGCCACTGAGCCATTATCTTTGTGAGATTGCATGCACTGCACTTAATCACAAAGTTAGGGGTGCATTAAAGCCAGGACAGCTCATTCGGTTTTTTAATGGTCTAAAAGGGGATAACATTATTTTAGAAGTTTTAGTGAAATTTATTATAAGTAGGAGTCAGCAGACTGTTTCTGTAAAAGGCCAGATAGTAAATATTTTGGGGTTTGTGGGCCATATGGTCTCTGTTCTAACTCTGTCGTTATTCTGCACGACTTTGTCATTGTAGTGCAGACGTAGTCATAGACAAAACATAAACTAATGATTGTGACTGTGTCCCAATAAAACTTTATTTATAAAACAGTGGTGGACAGGTTTGGCCTGCTAACTCATGCTATAAAGAATCTTGTGAAAATTATGACTTCCAGTTATTGAGCATGAACAGAGTAGTGGGTAATGTTATGGATATGTTGTATTGTTGTTTAATTAATCCTTGTTGTTAATTAATTAATTGTTGTTAATTAATCCTTGCCACAAAAAGGAAGCTGAGGCTCAGAAGTTTTAAAATTATTACTCCAAGTTCGTATAGCAAGTTGCAGGGTCGTTACTAGAACCCAGATTTATCTGTGAGTGTGATGATATTATATTTTTTTCTTTTTAAAAATGTTCACTTATTCATTTGGCTGCGTGAGTGTTGGTCACGGTATGTGGGATCTTTCACCTGGTGCACAGACCCTCGAGCTGCGGCCTGTGGGCTCACTAGTTGGGGCATGTGGGGTTGATATACTTATTCTTCATATGAAGGAAAATGCTCTGTGAGTTTAAGAGCTTTGCTTTCAATAATCTAAAAGAACCAGGTCATTAAAATATAAGGTTGTGCTATAATGATCTTACTGAAAATCATTTTATAACTGATAATTCAGCTATTGGCCAAAGAAAACTCTGAAAATTTAAATTAGGGTAACCAACTAGTTACCACGACACCAGTGTCTCCCTAAACTATTCACCCTGTTGGGATCATAGGCATTCTTAAAACCTACTGTGCTACACCAATTGCCTTAAGGATCTCTGTTTTTTGTTTTTTGAGGGGCCACATTGGCTGCTCTGGGTAAAGTCTTGGAAGAAAGCTTAGCAGCATTTTAAATTTCTCTTCTCAAAATTCAAACTAGGGGCCAAAAATACCTCTTGGAAAGGCTCGTAAGCAGATGTGAGGATCTTTCATCCTAAAGTGTTGGATGAAGTAATTGTCCAGTTAAATCGTCATCTTAGCTTCACCATCTTTGTGCTTCTGGCCTGGAAGCAGACTTGAGTTACATATAGATTACATCAAAATCTGCCTTACATGAATAAATCCTTGAAAAAAAATACATTTTCTCTTTTTCTTATGAAAGCTTCTAATAGCTCTGAAACATCAAACCTCAGAGTGGGAAATTAGGAAAACTTCAGTGATTTGGCATGTCAGTATGTGTGTATGTGTGTTTGAGTATGTGTTAGAAGATAAGAAAAGCTCTACAACCAAAATCCCTTTCCTTCTGTTTCTTTCCCTTCAAGATTACAAGTCCCTTTCTTATTTTTGAAAGTGTGATCTGATTATATATTTAAAGTAAATAATTATTTATTGGGTACCCACTATATGTCAGGCATGATGCTATAGCATAGAGGGTATATATAATGAGTTAAACACACTGTCTTCAAGGAGATTATCAGAAATTAATACTGTGTATTATGGCTTGGTGTTAAAGATTCTGTCTGCCAACCAGATGTGGGGTTTGATCCCTGGGTCAGGAAGATATGCTGGAGAAAGAAATGGCACCCCACTCCACTATTCTTGCCTGGGAAATCCCATGGATGGAGGAGCCTGGCAGGCTACAGTCCATGGGGTCTCAAACAGTCAGACACGACTTATTGACTAAATAGCAACAACAACAAATTAAATGCTAAAACATGAGTAAGTACATAGGGAAGACATGTAACCCTACTTTGGGAGTCAGAGAAGGTTTCCTGAAAGAAAATCTGAGCTAAGTCATGAAAAGTAGGAACTAGACCAAATGAAAAGCAGGATAATCTTATCTGAATTTCCCCCAGTTCAGTCAACATGATACATCTGAATTAAACATGCTTAAAATGTCGTTTAAAGGAAAAAAAGAAAGGAGGCCTCTTTTTTGAATGCCATGAACCAAAAGAAAAGATAGATTTGACACCAATCACCTCTTCTAAGTCTAGTAACAGGAAGGGCATGTTTGCTTGTAGTCTGAGCATTTTCTTCATCAGAATGAATGTGACTGGTGAAAAATGAAATAAAAATGGCCCTTCTTGACTGTTGGACCCCCTTTTCATTACCAGTTCTAACAGAGGAAAGTCTTAGAGTTCAGTTATACTCATGAATGAGGAAGAGGGAAGTTTTGATGGATTAGCTAAGGCCTACTCCACCCAACTTACATTTTGCTCCACAATTTTTAATGTTAGAAGTGGGCTAATCTTTCTTTCTGCTTTCCTTCCCC